TATAGATAGATTGTCCATGTTAAAGGCTTCGGTGTATCACTACCATACATGAACACTTCACTATTATAAACTACAATGCAACAATAATGCCAAGAAAAAAAAACTTTTAGCTCTGCATTTATGCATGCGTGCATGGAACCCCCTCTCGGCCCAAATATGTGTACATGGAAATGCTAATAATAAGTCAATATATATGGTACTCCATACTAGTTAATAAGGCTGTCTATTAATCCAGCGATCAATATCAATGAAGTTGATGCTTGTGAAATAGTTGACAAGTTGTGGACTCAAATGTGCTTCCCAAGAGACTCTATTCGACGTATCCGATCCTTCCCCGTAGCATCCCACCTCCGCAAATGTCAATCGTTTCCTGGATGATCATCATATCCATTAAGTTATGCTTCCTCCGTCCCATAAAGATGTTTCCATTTTGACTTTTATATTGACTTTTCAAAAATACTCTTGATGTGATAGGTAAAAGTAAGATATGATGAGTAGATTATTAGTAAAAAGGTATGATGTGACAGGTAGGTTAAGAATGATCAGGGATAAAAGTGGTTTTTTAATAGAATAGGGAAGGATTTTATGAGACAAGAAAAAAAAGAAAGAAGTTTTTGGATGGAGGGAGTATATATTAGGAGTATGATATTGCTCAAAACATAAACATGTAAATTCTCTTTTTTTTAATTATAATCCACTAATCTCATCATAATTTTGTGTGTGTGTGTGTGTGTGTTAGGATTTATTGAATTGGGATAGATTAATTAAAGTGAGGAATTTGAGAAGAAATGAAGGTGTCTTACTCATAACCTTTGCTGTACCAGGCATCCCAACCTTGAGGAACAATGATGTTTGGGAGAGAGGAATTGAAAAAAATAGTCCTGGCATAACTTCTCCATGCCCTTCCCAAGTAAGCCCTGCCATTCCCTGTCACAATGCAATTCTTAAACACAAATGCATTGCTGTCCTGCCCACCTGACCTTCCTTGCGCTGTTATGAACCCTGTAATGCCTCCTCCTCCGATTGATCCCGCATTCACAACTATCGTACACTCCTAATAAGAATTTAATACTGAAAAGAGTAAGTTCCATAAAAGGTACCGAATTTACTTAAATGACACTAAAACATAATGACTTTCTCTAAATAGTACCGCATGTATTTTTTTCTCAATGTAGCACTTTTAGTCATTATCCATTCAAGTAAATGTTCGCCATCACTAGACATTATTAAGTGTTATTTAGAGAATAAAACAGTTTAAGTGATATTTAGAGAAATGACTTAAGTTTTAGTGCTATTTAGTGAAAATCTATCTTTAATAATACCCTTATTAATTCTAAAAGTGGAGTCAAAGAACTCATTTTGGAGTTGTTTTGTTTCAGCCCAACGAATTGAACCGGCAGGTCTCAAAACGATAGTTAATTATTATATTCTTTTTATGAGCATGAGATACACATGATAGAAATTAGAAATACTATCATACTCCCTCGGTCCGATTATTTTGTGGACGTCAAGAAAAATTAAGGGAAAAAGCCCAAAGTAAATGTAAAAAGTTAAAAATATACTAAAATAAGAGTTACATGTTTTTATTCTTAAAATATATGTTAAAATGCACATATATCAAGTGTCAATCATGACCATATATATTACTAAAAAATATTGTGAATGTACGCATAGACTGCACATTACCACAACGTAAACTCTTATTTTGAAGATAAAAATATGGAATTCTTATTTTTAAATCTTTTTTTTTCTTATTTTACTAAGGTTGTGTGATGATACTAATTTTTTTATAAAAGAAAAGAGTATACTCCGTATGTAAATCAGACACAAAAATAGATTGAGATGAAAAGAATACTTAGAGATTCAAAATGAACACTTTTTGTGGGAAGTTTTAAAAAAACATGCATTGATTATGGATTGAAGCTATCTGGTAGTTGAAGTCAAGAGGTTCAAAGTACGACTTTAATTTGGACATTCCCTATAAATTAATGCAATTAAATACTCTCTCCGTCCCATAAAATCTTTCTCCTTTCTTTTTTCATCCGTCCCATAAAACAGTTCTCATTTCTATTAAAAAGTCACTTTTACCCCTTACTTTTTCATACCATACCTATCACATCATACCTTTTTACTAATAATTTACACATCAAATCCTACTTTTACCCATCACATCAAAGGACATCTTTGAAAATTCAATATCAAAATAAAATCTCTTCAAAAAGCAAAACATTCCATGTTTCACGGGACGGAGGGAGTAAATACTAAACTACCCTCGCACCCAATTAATTAAACAAACACATAGTAGTAATAAACTCAAGAAAGAAGTACGTGTGTGTACCTCATAAATAGTCTGACCGGCACCAAAGATGAAGTCTGTGGCTCCTTCGATGGTGCAACGCTTGAAGTAATGTCTCCCCGTCGCATCCAACAATGTGTCTTGCACGCCGGAGAAACCACACCAGTAGAATGCCGTTTTGTCTCCGGTGATCATCGCCGCCACCGCAGGTTTTACCTTTGCCGCCCCGCCGCCCGGAGGGTAGTTGTAAGAATTCTGTCCAAATTAATTAGACGTGCAAGTCATAATTTTTTTTAGAAAATAACATGCCCTCTTTTTATTGTTTATCAACTTTTTTTAATACTCTTTCGTCCCATTTTATTTTACTCACCGAGTTTGAATTTTTCAAATCAAATTGGACGAACTTTTAGTCATCAATTACTTTCAAATTCTGTTTCAGATTAATACAATTCAGGATCTAAAATTTTGAAAATTTTCAAAAGGATGGGTAAGTTTAATGAAATCATTTTATACTAATGTATACTTCGTATTACGGAGTGCAATTTCTGTTAAATTGGAGTCCAAATTAGGCTTGTTCAGTTTGATTTAGAAAAAATAATACTAGACAAAATACACTGAGACATGTATGGTATAAAACTGTTTATTTGGGGGGATGGGGGTTTTAATTTGTACCACAAATTGAAGGTATTCAACTTTGATGTTGTCTGCATGGGATGTGAAAGTTGGGCTTGCAATGATTGAGTCACTATCACCCCAAACAATGCTAGGCCTTTGCACCCCCTCTCCCTTGAGGTAAATGTATGGTTTGTCACTAGGAATTGTCACCTTTTCTCTACACACATAAATAACATCACTTATTAATGTAACATATTTCAATCAAACTAAAACATGAAGCATAGTTGACTCTTTTCAAAAACTCCAAATAATACAATTAGATCTGTCTAAAGCGGCACTTGTACATATATATATGCAAATATTGGGATTTTTTGGCGCAGAAATTCTCAAAATTTAATTTGTTAGAGTACGTGCAAGAGTTTAATCTTTTCGATCGTCATACTATAAGCTTTTTTCAGGTTTGATCAAATTGGTTTTTTGGACAAACTTTGATTACCATAAAATAAAAATTAAACAATATATGAACAAAGTTGTATGATATGATAAAAGCATAAATTAACAAAAAAGAAAAAGCATATACTTGTAGGTGCCGGGCATGATAGAGATCCGGATCCAGCGGGTATTGTGGGAAGGAATTGAATCAATGGCGGATTGGATGGTCGTGAAATGGGCGCCCGCAAGGCCCGACTGGGCAACGTAGATAGTTGAGTAAAGCTTGGCATCTTCTCCTCCACTACACAGGAACCCGCTCACAAATGAGAAGAACAAGAAAAGTAATGGGCGGTGCAGATTCCTGTACATGTTTGAACACCTGCAAAAGACCGAATGGGTACCCGGAAAAGAAAATTACGGTGGGTTCATATAATTGTAAAGTTTACTTATTTAGCGAAAGGTGTGTGTATATATGCAGTTGATCGAATTGGAAAGTCAAAGATTATTATAAAGCCTTAATTAGTATAAATGTAGTTGTAGTACTTATTTATTTATGTGACGTAATTAAATAAATTATTAAGTAGTAGAAATTGGATTATTTATTTATTTAACCTCTAGGAGGATTTTCTGCATGAAACCTGCCTTTTTAACCTCATCAATTCACATGCAAAGAAGATTATTTTGCGCTATATTCAATAGATTTGGGACTACTTACGCCATCAGCATATATTTTTAGTTTAGGAAATTAAAAAGGTAACGGTTTCTTTAATTTTAGGATATTTATTTCTTTTTTTGACACCAGCAAAAACAGCTCACTTATTATTCAAGTCAAAGATGAGTACATCCAAAAGCACCGGATGGAGGTTTTTGCTCTTAGCCTTAACACGTTGGTATTTCATTAAGAATTACATAACTTTTAAATTTAGACACACTATTTTTTTTACTCCCCCGTTTTATAAAACTCTTCCCCTTTCGTTTTATTCTAATTCCCTACAACACTTTTACTCTCAATTAATAAACCACTTTTACTCCTACTTTTTCATACCCTACCTATCACATGATACTTTTTCACTAATAACAAAATTATCACATCTTACTTTTATTCATCACATCAGGAACAAAATTGGAAAGTCAACCAAGATTACACTTTCCTTATTTTGGCCCAAAGTCAAAATGGAAAGAGTTTAAAGAAACAAAGGGAGTACTATTTCTACCTGTGCAACGCACGGGGTCGTCGAACAAAATTCTTATTGGTTCTGAAAATTTTTTAATGCAATATTTTTTCCAGAATAAAGAAAATATATTTCTCTATGATTTTTAATACTATAGACGAAAATTCCAAAGTAGAATAAACAAGAAAATATGTTTCCCTAAACAAATTTTGTTTTAATAACAAATTTTTTGAAAGACTTCAGTGTATACAATATTTTTGAAGTAGTTGCACGGGTATCATTGTCATCTAGAACCAATATTTTTAAATGTATTTTTGTCTTCACTAATAAAACAGTAACATAAAGCTGATCATGAGTGAACACCAACTTGGTTTAAAATAATGCAAGAAATAACAATGTTTGACCTTGACTTTTGTTGATAGTAATTGCGAAATATAAGATTATTGGGATTTGTCTTCTCAAGGACTTTAAGAGTAGTCCTAGATCAGATGGAATCAAATTCATTTGGAGTATGTAAACTTTTTCCCCGACTCGATTTCCCGAAACCACTAGACCAATAACATTGTTTCGCAGCTCTTCAAGGATTAATCTCTTACCATTACACAATCCATATATTTGGTCAGTGTATCTCAGTATCAAAATCATTAACCCACTTTTTAGATTATTTTGTGGTTTAGGATCCCCGAACATTTGATTTCATTTAAAACTCAACTGTTATCCAAGCATCATCAACAACTACATCCGAATCGGCCTGACATGAAGAATCAAAACTCAGGCACACCATTTCATATTCGGGAATGAGGGATATAACAAATTCATTTACCATTTCTACAATCTCAAGCATGGGTATCATTAGTGCCCTATCCTCAAAAAATGAATAACTTTTCATAATCTCCAATAGGTTCAATTAAGATAATTGAAGTCCATTATACTCTTGATGGGATAACTTGTGTCTAGAATCAAGAATTCATGCAGAATTTCAAAGGCAGTTGTTCCATCAATCACTTGTCCAAGCTTTCCATCTCTAACTTTGATTATCCAATAAGAAAAATTGTGTGTCTTTATCTGTGCAAAAGGACATAGATGAATGCAATCTCATATTTTTCGTCAACGTATAAACTTAAAATACAACCATAATTTTAAAGAATTGATGATTGCAATCACAATTTCCTCTCTTGAAGCTTTGGGTAAAACACGAAGAATTTTCTAAAAATCACCTCCGAGTACAACTATGTTCCCTCCGAGTTCAACTATTTTCCCTCTGAATTCAACTATTTTCCTTCCAAATGGTTCGTTTCTGTAGTTTTTATTAGAGAAACTCATTGCATCTCTCATTTTGTGATCCAACACCTCAAAAGTAAATTTATTCATCATACATGCTTCATCCCATATTATTAAACTTACTTGTTGGATTAGTGCTGTTTTCGGGCTCTCTTGTTTGATGGCACACGTACTCAGTTAGCGTCAGAGAGATTGAAAATCTTGAGTGTAATATCCTTCCCCCATGAAAAAGTAATGTTGCAATGCCACTGGATGTGACATTCAAGACAATCTTATCATTTTTCTGATTCCACCGTAACCATACACAACAAAATTGGAAATTTGTTCTCGTAAGCTTCGGAAAGAATAATGGAAAATAATATAATTTACCAAAAAATAATGGTATCAATTTCCTTTTTAATGGATTACTAATATTGCCCTCCCCTTAATTGCCATCATCAATTACATAATAGTTTTCACAATTTCAACGATCTACACTGTAGCAGAAAAAAAAGAAAGATATGCAAAGGGGTTCCAAAGAAGCTTAAAAGGAAAGATGATGATTTGTAAAATAAAAAAGGGTATATAAGCTAAGGTAATATACGTGTAGAAAGAATCTTTTGGTAATTACTACTCCCTATATATATTACTTCGTATATATTTTCTAAGCAAAACTAAAAAAATCACTCAAATAGGAGTAAAACATAAATCCTATCCCCAGAACAAGAGTTCAATATTTTTATTTCCAAAATAAAAGTTTAAACATTGACACTGTGGCACTGTATATTACCATTTCATAATGTTTAAAATTATTGGTATTGTAGTTCCTATTTTAGAGATAAAAAATATGGAACTCATATTTTGGTACTTTCTCCATATTCTAATTTTATTTTAGTTATCTTTTTTCCAAAAAAATTATAATGACACTTCTTGATCCGTATATAAAGCATATATTTCGTATACAACTTAAATTGATCTATCAATATTTTGTTGAAAAATGTCACATCATTCAAGTCATTAATAGGTGACGAATGATTTGTTAAAAATTTATCATGTAGACTCGACACTTTTCGCAATTCTATAAGGTTAACTTTCAAATTTAATATATAAAGAAAAGATGTGCACCTTCTAAGCATATGCAAAAAATAAATGTCCATACATTATCAATATAATATGCGTAGCAATAATTATGTGAGATTAAAATTGTTTAATTCTTAAATGTACATATGTTGGATGCATATTAAATACTACTTCCATTGCATAAAAATTCTCCATTTCATTATTTTAAAATATAAAAAAAGGTAAACAAAGTAAAAAATTGTTTAAATATTCTTGAAACATATGAAAAATGAAATACTTATAGTTTGAAAGGGAATGAATTGGTTCATTTGTCTTTCAACTAAGGATTAATAAAACTATTGCTTCATTTGTCTCATTTTTTTACACGGATTAGTGACATACAACTAAAAAAAATAAAAAACCATATATTTGTAATTGATATTGATTTTAAAATATAAAGAAAGGGTGCGATGAGTCACACACTCACACATTACCAATACGATTTGGGATAATACATAATAGCATATAAGAAAATAAAAAGAGATAAAAAATTTAAAAAAAAAGTAAATTAAAGTATAAGTTTTTTTAAATAAAATATGAAATGTATAAGATAGAATAAATATTTCAACACTTTGAAATTTTTTCCTAACTCTTTCCATTTTTTTGAACTCGTTCCAATTTTTTTCAATTCCTTCTAATTTCTTCCAACTCCTTCCAATGCCTTCTAGATTCTTCCAACTTCCAATTTTTTCCAACTCCTTCTAATTTCTTCCAACATCTAACTTTGTTCTTACATAGCCTTATTTTGTAAACCTTTTGAAAACATTAATTGTACACAAATATTTCTATAAATTAAATTGAAAATAACTTCAACTGCAGAGGGATGCACTCAATGTGATGAATACCTTATCAAGCAACTATTGCAGTTGAGCCTTCAACTACTTCATTTCGGAAGCTGTCATACAGTACGGTGTCACATGTATAGCTTCCCTCTAGGAACAAGGTCAATCAAGAATTCTACCTCCTTTGGCCGTGGCAAGACAAGGAGCTCATAAGGGAACATATCTAGAAAGTCACATAGAGTTGTGATGTCTTTCTCTTCAGGGGTTTCCTTTCATACGTCACAAACATTGCCAAGAACGGCTTGCACTTCTTATGGATGAGACGTCTAGTGTGCATAAGGGAAACAAACTCCCCTTTGACCTTCACGACATCACCATTGTCAACTTTCAACCACATAGAATCCGCAGTCCCAACTAATTATATCTTGGTGTTCAGTCAATTATCAGTTCATACCAAAGATAATGTCAAACTTAATGTACGACATCTATATGTGGTTAGCAGATAATTTTTGTCCTTTAGCAATGAATGTAAAACTATTAAACACTTGATCTCGCATGTTGTGTCCTAGTGGGTTCGACACTATCATAGAATATAGTGGGTTCGACACTACCATAGAATATTCCAAGTTAAGCATATTTTAGGCATGGATATACACATTTAGGAGAATATAGATCATGGATCAATCAACATAAGCATATTAATTAGTATCAAATAAGAAAAATATACCCAGAATGGCGTTGCACTTGATTTTTGTACCCCCTTGCATGGCGTAGGTACGGGCAGTAGTACGCATCTATTGTTTCTAATCTTGATTGCTATGTGGGTTTGACCCCTTTTTGACTTTTGGATTTAGTCGGGTCACGGTGCGGTTGTCTAGTTTTGCACTTCCGTCATGGAGAACGGCAGGCCTGGGATAGTGGGGCAGTGCTTCTTTGAGTGTCCGGGCTCCCATATCACAAACAAAGTCCTTGAGTAAATAAGTAATCTCCCGGGTGGTTCAACATGTGCAAATTGCACATCAGATTCCTCGAAGCTATTGGCTTACTATTGATGCCACTAACTAACCCAGCGCTGATCTAGCCTTTTTGGAGCTTTGGGTACCCTTGGAACCACTGAACGGTCTCTAACTGCTTAGGGCAGCGCTCACTTTAGATCATGCATTCAACCTTGCATTCTCAGTCTTCGGGCTTGCCTTGTAGTCATCCAGGTCTTTCTCTGCCTTCACTATCAGATCGCAAGCCGTGTAAAGTTTGTCGCGGTTATGACAGACACGTGTGGCCTAAGGTCTGTCCGAAGCTTTTTCCGGAACTCCTTAATATGATCTTCTGTTGTAATTAATAACATCGGTGCAAATTGGCCAGATAATCAAACTTTTGTCGCAACTCGAGAGTCAGGTCTCCCTGCCTCAATTCCATAAACTTTGTACACTTCTCCTCACGGAAGCGGGCTGGTATATATTTCTTCCAGAGTGAATGGATGGCCACCCAAGTACCCTCGCAGTCTGATCTATCCAATCTATTGCAATCTAGACAATGGAGATTTTATCCCCAAGAATCACTTTCACACCATTAGATATGGATTAGAGCATTAAGGTCCATGCATTAGGAAGTGTAATAACTTCAAGTCAAAAAATAGTTATACCTTGGTCGTTTAAGAATACTAAGTACATGTTAATGTAAGGCCCGTGTAGTATTCTCATGACGTGTTATGTTCAGTAACATACTCCATTTGTCCTAGTGGATTCGTTCATTTTGACTTTCTTGAGTCAAACTGGATGAGTTTTGAATATCAATTTAAAAAACTATAAAGTATACTAGTATAAAAATGATTTGATTAGATTTTTGGTTGAAAACTTTCAAAATTTTATTTCATTATATTAATATGCACTACAAATTGAGAATAATTGAATATTAAAGTTTGTTTAGTTTGACTAATAAGATCTACCTACATTTATGACTAGATATCCAATATCAATAGCTTATTTAAGTCAACCATCTCATCATATATGTACTAGTCTCCATTCATTGATGATGTTTGTATTATCATAACACTAGACATTGAGTATTTTAGACATAGCCCCCCAAAAGATTATTGTATCAACTCATAATCAAAATATTGTAATCCTCATCTATGTTACATGAACAATGTCTATGGACTAAAGCTACGTTTATATACCTGAGGTGTATAAATAATTTTCAATGTCTTTATTGATGATAAATATACAGATCCTATCCGTAAATGATTGGCCACTAAGTCACTAGGGCATACAAATACAACATTATTTTTCGAGAGAACTAGCACTTCGGTGAATTAGTTAGAAAGACGTACGAGGATGGTCCTTTGGGTCATTTTGGTTAAAATAAAATAATGAACATTAGTAGTGACCAAAAATTGAAAGGGGTGTGAATAAAATTGTATCTTCTTCCACAATGTAATAAATCCCATGTTATGCCTCATGTGTTATATACGTCCTTTCTGATTTTTACCGAACCTTGGGTAGATATATCTATAGATTTCATTTCGGATTTACCTGCAATGAAATCAGTTTTTGACTCCATTTCCATATATACCGTATTACACTAAAAATTCAAAGTATTGCCAAAATCAAAGAAACTTGTGCCTGATATCAAAGAAAGTTGGACACTTGCTATCCCTAATCCACTAAATCAGAACCTTTTCAGGGTGCATTCATTCAGTTCAACATCACAAATCACAGTGCCAAAAGATTTTAGCAACAGTAATAACCATAGATCATCAAAAACCTCTTTCTAGAGCCAAAACTTGCACACAACCACAAAGATACAGATAACTCCCGAAACTCAGTCCTCGTCCATTCCTCCTCCCGGTTGTGCTCCTCTCCTTGGACCGCCAGCTGGTTTTGCCATTATAATCTGCACCATGATCAAATTTCAGATCAACAACTCAAATGAATCTCACAAGGGTAGGGTCTAGGGAAGGTGTACACAAACCTAATCCCTACTCGAAAGTAGAGAGGTTGTTTCCAAGAGACCCCCCGCTTTATGAAAAAAACCGTATATGACGCAGGGTCCTTTCCCTGATCATGTGCTTTCTCTGTAATTTAAATTTTGTGGTTGGAGGGAATGAAATTTCTAAGAACTCATTCTAGTGTTTGGTAATGAATGGAATAGAATGGGAATATTATACGCAAAAAGAAAGATACAACTATCTTGTCTTGTTATATGTGTGTTACTCCTTTCAAAAGTCTAAGGGTAATAATATCTCTATTGAATCCAACCTTTCTTATAGATTGACAGGAAAAAACAATACCATGATTCATAAATGGGTGAGGGGCACCTTTTGCCCTTTTGCATGAAATGAGAGAAAGGATGTTCCTCAACCTCTCAGTTTTTATAGGGGTAAGGTTGTATACACGTTGAACTCCAAGACCCCAACAAAGTTGGGATTATATCGGGTTTGTTGTTGAGGGAAAAAATGTTCCCAAAGAAAGTTCGTACATTTATACCAAAAATTGGAATCTCTTATTTGACAATTGATTGAAAGAAAATTTGTTGTGTCACCTTAAATCCAACTTCAGTGCACAAAAGTAATACAGCAGTAAAATAATTGTAGTATTTACTACAATAAAATAATTGTAGTATTTATCACATCTGCGTAGTATTAATCAGTAAATGATGAAAACACTGGCAAATGTTTTGTGCTGGAAGTATGAACTTTTATTGAGGACCTTCGCGACGATGTTTGTTTGTGTACACTACAGAGTGTACAAAAAAATACTACGGAATATACACACTCAGACTCCCTCCATCCCTAAATAGACTTTGGCTTACGGTATCAGATGTTTAACCGAAATGGTTTTTCATTCAGTTTATTTGAACATTGGTGTCAAATTAAAAAATAAAAATTATATTACGGGTATATTTTAAAAGTAAAACAAAAGTTCTTCATGAAGGAAGGTGACATGATTATGTTATTCTAACCAATGGTAAAGTAAACAAGCAAAAAAAGGTATAATTTTACCTTGTGAATGGTGAATGTAAGTTAAGTTATATTTTATTTAGGGACAGAGTGAGTGTGTGTGTGCGTAGCTCAATCTGACTCTTAACAGTTAACACACTATTAAGTAATGTGTTAGACTCAGAACTTAGAATGTATTATGTAAACAGTTCGGCTGTCTCAATGGAATCTAATCATGTGGTCCAGAGTCCACACTTCATAGTAGAGAGCTACTCATAAAAAGAGATTCAGGAATAATAAACAGGTAGTTACCTGGTCCACTCGTAGCACAGTGCAGACAGCATCCGCAGCATATTTGAGAGCAAAAAACCTAGTCAACACAAAGACATATCCCATCAATGATACAAACATTGTAGGAAAAAGATGCACGTAACTAGTTGCATTGTTTGCATCATTGAAAATCTATAACGCTATGAAATTGAAATGTTGAATGACTAATGTTTGGTAGGAGTTAACGGTAATGGAGGAGCTTTGGACTCCTTCGATTTCATGAAAACTTGCTAATCCGAATTGGGTGATAATACTACACTTGATGAAGTATTTTTTTGTTGTAACATGTAAAACATGGCAATCCTTATGGAGAACTATCTAAATATTAATTAAAAACAATACAAATGTCAATTGTAATATTGACACAAAATTTAAAAATACTCTGCACTAATTTCCTCATCAGTGATGCATTGAGCCAAACATAACATTTTTAGGTGTTCCATTTCCTCTTCCCTCTCTTCCATTTCTCTTCTCCTCCCCTCTTATTGAGTCAATGACATTAAAGGGTAAATTTCACTCAGAAGCTTACTTGGTGATGTAGAGGTCCCATATATTCAGGGCGGTGACATCCTTGCATGCCCCTTCCTCCAAGCTGATGCCTACTTTGGTGTTCCCAGATGCATGCTCGGCATATAAAGACGATATTATTTCCATAGCATTAAGGCCAGCATTCTCAGCAAGAGTTTTAGGAACCATTTCAAAGCTTTCAGCAAACTTGGCAATGGCATACTGGTCCAGGCTACATACAATGAATATTATTACAGGACTTTCAGATACACTGTATTTCGCCATTCAAAGTTTATAATGGAGGTATTGAGCATTAACAGCTAAAAAACATCATAACATCTATAGCATAGTACATTGGTAATAGAAATAATGATATTAAACACAATACTTTCAGTCAACACAATTAGATTTAAGCACAATAACCCCTGATTAAGTTATTTGAAAAATTAAAAACTGCAAACTTTAAGATACTCAGCCAATGAAAGGAGTGCTTATAAATAAATGAATACCCAGTCTCTTTAAAAGAGAACTCCTTCAATCTCCTGGCCAACTCAATCTCAGTAGCCGCAGCTCCAGGTACTATCCTGCTGTCCCTACACATTGCCTGGTACAATGAAGGGTTATCAAACTGCAGATTCTAATGTGAAACATAGCTCAATACTACCAACAAAAAGAAATTATGGACAAACAAACTAGGAGCTACTGTCTATAGGCACAGTAGATACCTTATAGGTATTTACACCATCATCCACTGCTCTTTCAAGGTCGTCCAGTATACTGTCAGTGCTACCACGTAGAACAACAGTGGACACAGAATTTCCACCTTCCTCGTTTCTTACGATTGTAACCTAGAAGGAAAAACATGAAATGTCAATAGCTTGTACTAACATGGACCAGATAATTAAACAAGTGTGGTATGTACCCTAATGCCACCGATTTCTTCCACTGAGACAGAGTCAACATATCCAAGGTCGTCTGCATTTGGTTGACTTAATTTCAACTGGTC